AAATATAACATAAATAATAATAATAATAATAATAATAATAATAATACAAAAATATTAAATCAAAACATGTGCAGCATCAAAAGTTATGGCTTTTATGATTCAGTAAAAAAAAATTTACCATATAGTTTCGAGTTGCAAAATCGTTCAGCAAGAAAGTTGTTTATCTGTGTACAACGAAGTTTTTCTCTAAATTTCAATGAAATCGAATAATTTATTCTTTAGATAAATTAACTTCAAGTCACAGCAGGAACCGCGTATTGTGCAGAGATTCGATGTATAAAAAAAAATGTAATGAACTCTCGATTACTAAAAAACTTGTTGTACAGTTTGAACCGTTGCACGGTACCCAATTCCTGCCACAACGTAAAATTGATATATCTCAAAAAAAAAAATCATTTAGTTTCATTGAATTTACAAAAAAACTTTTTCGTACACAGAGTTACAGCTTTGTAGCTAAAAGATTTCCCAACTTAAAACTTAATATCACATTTTTTGTGGGTTAATCATAAAAGCTATAAGTTCTAATACTGCACGATTTTCAATTAAATATTTTTGTATTAATTATTGTATTAATTTTTATAGTCATGCTGCTGGAATCAGTGTTACTTAAATAACTGATGTTAAAAATTTCCAATCGATTATTGCATTTTTTTACAAAAACAGAGCAATTTAAATTAAAAAAATAAGAACTAGAAGTGGTAGAAATTGTGCACTATATAATTTTTATCTTGAAAACTACTTTTCAAAGCCAGCATCTCATTTTTGAAATTTGTATATAACTTTCAAATCTGATGCTTAGCACAGAGTATGTGTAACTAGCGCCAGAGGCCGCCAACGTCCGGCATTAACCGTGTAAGTGCTTCCGCAACCTTGGCGGCTTTGTCGGCTGCTCTCTTGATATGCTCCCAGAAGATGAGACGTGAGTTGACCCACATCCCCAGGTAGCGCACAACCGGGTTTGCGCAGATTGCCTCACCCGCAACGTTCAGGCAAAAGTCCCCCCCGAACCACCGTTGTCTGGTAAGGACGACCATCTCCGTCTTGTCGATCGCAAGTACAAAACCATGATCCCGCAGCCACTCCGACACTATCGCGACCACCCACCGAATTTTGCGCTCGGCCTCCTCTCGGGATCTTGCTGTGACGCGCAGTACTATGCCGTCAGCAAAACCTGTCAGCTTGACCCCCGGAGGCATTTCAAGGCGCAAAAGTTCATCATAGAATAGGTTCCATAAGTCAGGGCCGAGGGCAGAGCCCTGTGCAACTCCCGACGTCAGGCGCCTTTCTCTTGGTCCATCCTTCCTGTCGTACCGGAGTACACGATTCTGGTGATAGCTATCCAGTATCATTCTAAGGTAGTTCGGTACATTCTGGCGCCTTAAAGCTCTCATATCAGACCATTTAGCCGAGTTAAAGGCGTTTCTAACGTCAAGAGTCACCAAGACACAGGGGCTTCTCGTCTTATGTGAAGGTTTCCATGCCTCCCTAACCGACTCAAGGACCTCAGCTACAGCCATGACCGTCGATCGTCCCCCTCAGAACCCGTACTGATTGTCCGAGAGACTGACTTACCCTCTTAGACGAGTTCGTATCAGCCTCTCGAGCATTTTTCCGGCATTATCCAATATGCACAAAGGTCGGAGCGACGACGGGACCAAGGGGGGCCATTTACCCGTGTCCAGAAGGACAAGCCTTTAGATCTTCCACCGCTCACTGAACAGTCCGTTGCGCAAAGACGCATTAAACATGTCCAGTAACACGTGTGGTTTTTCCGCGGCTATGACCTTGAGGAATTCTTATGTCCTCCCACCTCCTCTCGGGATGCTCCGGAAAAAGACAAGAGATAGCCCTCTCCAAGAAGGAAGGATCCATCGGCGCCACCGGGTCCAAGCCGCGCAGTCTTTTCAGCGCAATTCGGCAGTCCAGGCCCCACGTATCTTTATCTACATCAGCGATGAGTTCGCACCAGCATCGATTCTTGCTCACCTTGATCTTCTGTACCAGGATACTTTTTGCTTCCCTGTACAAGTCTCATGGTACCTCCTACAAGAGCCTCGACTTCGCCAAATTGGTGATCTTGGATAAATTGGTGGGAGGGGGCGCGCTTGTCATGGCTTCCCGTAACAAATCTCGATTGAGCTTCACCACGTTCCACCCGGTTGCGCGCCCTCAAGGCACTCCTCGCAAGTTTGCACCATGTTCCTCATTAATTATGAAACTGACATATTGGTGATAACTAGCCGTACAGTCCTCCAGAACCTGCAAGTCAGACACCCGCACCACCATTTGTGACGATGCTAGTGTAAGGTCTATGATCGTGCCCCGGTTTCCGGTTCGTCTGAATGTTGCTGAACTACCAGAGTTCATGACTATGAGATCTAGCCTTGCAGCCATCTCTAGCACCGCCCGCCCCCTGGAGTTGGTTCTCGGCTCCCCCCAAGTAATGACCTTGGAGTTGAAGTTGCCGGCCAGGACTATGTCACCATTCTCCTTGCACACACGAATAGCATCCTCGAGCTCGGCAAGGCGCCCTCTAAAAACGCCGATCGATATGTTAGGGGAAATGTAGCAGCTCACATATAATATACTTCCACTCCTGATCCATACGAAACTGCCCCCGCCTCCGGAATCGGATACAGGGAACTTGTCACTGCGAATCAGGATGGCCGCGCATCAAGTCCTGTCGCAGTACCAGCCCCGACCCGGTAACATGCGTGACGGCTCATTTATGAAAAGCAAGTCCACACCCCAAGCGCGGAAGAACTGGTCCAGCGGATCATGCGCAAGCACGGTCCTATCAAGGTTTACTTGCAGGATCACCGCCATTTTCGCTGAGCTCCTCCTGCAAACGCTCGTAGCGCTTGACATCCGGCAGTCCGAGCGACGTGTCTGGTGTCCGGTTTCGGGACGACGCATTCACACAGGTAATAGCTCACTTCTTTTTTGGAGTATTTACGTGCTACGCGGCCCTTTTCACCACACCTACAGCACGCCCCAGTCCTGTCAGGTCCGCCACACTGTCTAGCAATGTGGCCAAAGCCCAGGCACGTAAAGCAGCGCTCAGCATTGTACTTAAGCCGCATCCTGCAATTCACACATCCCAGCCTTATATAATGCATCTTATTGAGGATCGTAGCCACCATTGCAGGTGCCTCAACGAAAGCTACCCGATTTCCGCCGACAGTGCCAGACGACAGCCGCACTGCCAAGACAGGGGCCTTCTCTCCTTCCAAACAGCTTCTAAGTACAGCCTGCACATCTTGCTCCATCAGCGTAGGGTCAACATTTCTAATCCCGCATGTCAAGCGCGGGGCAAGGGTCCTCACGCCACCAGCTTTCGCCACAGCATTTTTAAGCGCGTCGGCGAACGCCTCACGGCAGTCAGACGTGGTGTCTCTCAACTCGACGAGAACACTACCTGTTCTCCTCTCCTTGATTGACCCAACGCTTGCCTTGAGCTCGACAACATTAACCCTCTTCATCGGGGCCAGGACCTCGGCATACTTTTCGCCCTCTACTGGCTGTACGATAATCGCATCAGGCCTGGCTCTCTGACTTCTTCCCTCAGCAGCTTTCGATGGCTTGGCTACTGATTTTGGGATCTTATCCTCCCTAGACTTTTCCTCCACCGGCTTTTTTTTCTTTCTTCTTTTCTGGACCTCCGTCTAATTTTTCCCACTGCCCGTTCCACCAACCACTCCGTGCTCTGGTTGCGGCTGAAAGCCAAACCCACTTGGCTTTTTCAAGGCCTTTTCTGGCGTTAATTTTGGGCTTGGGGTTTCCCTACCACTCCTTCGCTTCCTTTTTTCTTTTAGTTCTATACGAATCTCTGGTTCCTCCACTTCATCAAGCCGATCGTGGTAATGCTTCAGTCCGCCTACAGCAGTCACCGTCAGCCCGACAAGGTCCTCTATAGTTCTCGCAGTGTTGGGGTGCATAGCCGTAAGTGCTTTAAGGTCAATCATCGCCCTCGCAAGGACCTCAAATGCAATGTCAGCGCTTTTCCGAAACTCGACCTCCAAGTCCAGCTT